TCATAGTTTTTATAAAAATAGACATTATATGTAGTATAGTACTATGGTGCCCATCTTTAGTATTATTCATACGATTAGGTCTCTGCCGAACTGACCCTGCATGCAAGCGAAACGTCTTATCTAGGGCGTCTTATCTCGCTACAAACAGAACATTTCAAAATGAACGCTGATACACCCTGCATATTTTCTAAAGCTTCGACGACAATGCGGATTTGCACGTAGCGGGCTCGGAGGACTGCTGCCATTTTCTTGACCCTCGCTCAGAACTGAGCAAATTTCTCTAAACAGTTTCTCTACCAGGTTTTTGACATTAACAATGCACTGAACACAGCTGCAGTCTTGAGATTTCAGGCTATACATTGCAGGTAGAAAAATTGAAAGTTTAGAAAAGAAAGGAAGATTTCAAAGGGATGGAACGTAAAACTCCTTAAGTTTATAAGTACAGCGGAGTTTTTGAAACATTTCAGATCATCCCTGTGTCTGAAGACCGTGAAAAGACGAAGAGTCTTGACTGGTGATCTTTGTTTAGCTTAATCATGAAAAACAACTAACCCTGCTTAACGCTGGTATTATGGAGATTGCTGAAAAACCCAGAGATGTTAAAAAAGTTTTAAATGTGCAAATATCTGAATCTTATGGTAGCACCCAAGCATTGGGTGCCATTGTCGCAAAAGGGTTCCACCATCATGTTAGACTTCGGAGGATTCCTCTTCGAAGAGGACGTGCGATGGCCTAAAAAGTGGCAACTAATAGGGAAAAAGTTTTGGAGTGAGATGTAGCATTGAAGTTCAGTAGCCTAGTCCAACTTCGGCGAGATTGGTGCTGCAGCTTCCGTTCAAGGCACATTGCGCAGAAGAGTAGGTCCCTCCGCAGAGTAAGAGTAGTATGATGGCCTCTGCCAATGCATGTCTTGAGGTTTTCTTTGTATTCCGACACCTTGATAAGAATACAGCTCATTGAAGTATTTTCCAACTTAACATTAAGAACAGCGCTTGTCGCAACTCCCCTAAAAGTTATCACGAGACCTTGTCTTCGCGCATTTACAGCTTTGAAGGACATCTCAAAAGCCACGGAGATTTCAACCCAAAGCGCAATATACCGGGTGATTAATCTTTGTTAACATTGGGTCACTTACAATCAAATCAAAACCTGGACGCCCAATTATTGTTAAAACAGAAACGTAGAGACAGCGCATTATTACTGTTAATCTTTTGTACTTTACAAATCAATCCAAAACCGGGCCAATTTTGTTAAACAGAAGACGGTAGAAGGAAGCGCATGTAGGTGCTGAACCCAGCAATTTTCTGCAGCATCCGCTTGTCAACTTTTTCGAATTTTTCAGCATATGCACGTCAGTTTCAGCATCAGCTCGTGTATCCAGAATTACGTCTACTCCAATTCATTACAATTCTGTGTGGATACGATTTGGTTGGAATTTCTGATTAACTTTCATGCTCTCCATCTGCAGTCTCACTCCTCATCATCTTTGAGACTATTGCAATTATAAAAACGCTACTTGAACCATCGCCGCATGTTTTTGTGGATCCTGATTTAAACGCATGGTCGAAATCGCAATGTGTTTGCGCCCCTTCCGTGCTATGAAATAATAAATTTGCAGGCACTCACTCTTTGATTAGAAGGTCTTCAAATATTTGAGAAGGCAGCAAGGCTTCAGAAAAAATTGTGAACACTGTTGGCGAGAAACGCGCTTCAGGATGGTATGAGAAATTAAGTTCGCCAAAACTAATTCAGAATAAAATATTCAATTAGAGCTATCAAAATCAGCGAAGATCCAAACTATCCAAGAAAAGAGAAATGTACATAATACTTTCAAGACCTATACATCTGCCTGTGACGAAAAAGCGAAGATCTCCTTGAAGAAAGGGTTCGAACATGCAAGCTTGCGCTCTCGAAGCTGACAGCGTCTACAGCGTCGAGTCGAGCATTGCCTTTTTTATGCTTCTTCGCTAGTGGCGCAAATTCGGAAAAAAAGGGAAGCAGGTCACACTGAGGAGAAAATACCTCCGCAGCTCCATTAAGAATATAGCTCATTGTAAAAGATTGAGATTAGTTTTGAGCCTAGCTCTCAAGACGACAACATTATAAGTTTAGGAACATAGGATGCATACCGTAAGCGACATTAGCGCCAGGGCACGGTCACAGTCCTGCGGCAGGATGTCGTTGCTAGGTTGCGAGCGAAGATCAACAACGCCACACCGGCGTGCAGCGTTCCAAAAATGGAGCAGCATTGCAGCATTCAACTCGCCGCTTGCATGGCGAGATGGACGGAGCGCTGCGCGCGCTTCACGCGCGGGCAGGGAAGGTGATCCCCTACGTGCCGCCTCATCCTACGTGAGGCCAAACCGTCGTGCGTGCTATCCTCCGCGTTCTTGATCAACTGCGCTTAGTATAGTTGGCGAGTTTGCTCGACGCATTCTCTCTTCGTTGAGAGAACGCAGAGAAAACGATAAGTGGGTGCCGAGCACACATGGAAAATCGATGACACGTGACATTGCGCGCCCCAGTGCAACGTCGAGAGGGTTACGGTATACAGCCTATGTTCCTGTTCCTGAACTTATAATCTTCTCTCAAGACGTATGCGGTGATAAAGCTGACGGCGTTCTCTGCTAAGTAACGAGATGTCTCACTTCTTCACTACCCACTCTTCAAAGAACTCTTACAGAGGACATCAAGAAACATGAACTTCACCAGTGCATATGTATAATCGAATGCAAAAGATGTCCGTCCACTCCTGTGCTTTCACTCGTTAACGGATTTTGCATTGGACTCTTCCCTGCTTGCTAAAATGGTATGCGAATTCTACATTTGCTAGAAACGCGTTGGCAATATGGGATTGAGAATAGTGGTATTGAAAAATATACAATTTTGCGACCACTTCGTAGTTTCATAAGCAGAAGAAAGGGCAGAGTTGAAATCTGTCAAAATAGGGAAATTTACTGTAAATGTCGTTTTCTTCCAAAATTACTGATGCCATATCACCGAATATATCTCTGTTCTCGAAATCACAGAAAATGACCACCCTCTCTTCGTCCCGCAGCATAGCTACCCAGCCATGGCACGGCTAGGACAAGTAGTGAGATTCGTTCGGGAAGTCCAGCTTTGACATTTGCGTGGCTCGGTCCCTGATGTCATAGTGGAAAACAATTTTGCATCAAAACCTATCGACGAGCATATGAACTTCAGTCCCCTTTTTTACCACCAAAAGTGCTTTGTGAGCTTAAAACCAACACCACGTTATCGAAAAGAAAGCACTCTAGTTGTGATTCGATTGAAAATTTCAAAAAATTCATCAAATGATCCCACTCGTTTCTTGTGCTAATTTGCAACACGCAATAATATTAGTGTCACGGAAGTTTTGGTAAAATTCGGCTCCCCATGTTTGATAATGTTAACGCGCGAATGCGCTGAAGCAATTCCATCGCACAAGTGGTAGGAAAAAGGTGCTATTGATAGGTCGAGCCTATCACTACTGGTAGTTTACTTCGTCAACAGAACTGTGTTGACAATGATTGAACTACATGCGATCAGCACGCCCAACGTCGCCTCTGATTGTTGTAACCAATTTTAACACAGCTTCTGGAGCCTTGAATGAACTATGATGTGCGATGAATAGCACTTTCTCTTTCTCTCTCACTCGTAACATGCTGATGACACAATCGCTTTTCTAAAGTACAGTTCCCTATGACGATTCTCCATAGAGTTGACATCGTTCCCAGCGATGTTATTTAGCCTATGCCAAAAGCCATCCTTCTCGCCAAAGCGTAAAGGAAGCGTGAAGAAAAGAAGAAAATGCCATATTAATTCGCTGATGAGTGACTGCATTCCTTTGAAAACAAATTATATTCCATTCCAAAGCAAAGCATCAAAGAACATCGATTCAGATGAAGTGTGTAGTTATAGATTGTAACTGTGTCATAAGCTCAAATGTGGCTAGAAACATGATCCTAGGGGTTGTCTGACCCACTAAAATCGCATATCACCTTCGCTATGTGCGGCAAGTTCTGGCGAACGCTCTAAGGAAGAAATAGTGCTTAACTTTGATGAGATTTATCGCGAACCTCTTGATATTATGCTGACAGATTGTGCTGAAGGAGCCTTTCTCACTATGCTATTGAAAAGTGCAAGAAAGCAAATTGAGAAAGCGAACTCCGTTTAGAAAATCCTTTGTTAGATACCGGAAGCGACTTGGAGCTAGGCGTCTCGAGTCTCATATGGTACGCATCTCTTTGGAAACGCCGTACTTGATGGCATTTCACTGTCAGTTATTTTTCATGATATAGCTAATGTTGCATCCACAGAATATGCCTGAATGATCTATACGATAGTCTACCTGAGCAAGCCATCACTCAGTATTCTTGTCGGAAAGAAAATGAGTCTGTGGTCAACCGGTGGGCCACACTACTCTAAGGACTCATTTTCAGTTATTATCAATCGTGGCTACTCCAGCAAATTGGTATCATCAGTCATCAATTTGTTCAAACCGCAACGGCTGTGAAGTGAAGCTCATAGAATTGACGCCAATGGATGATTTTTCGTTGAATCTCAGGTAGATTTGCAAACAGGAACTCACCTTGTATAAAAAGACTGATGTTCTTTCTGAGCATCGTGGCTTCCGGGGCTGCTTTTGATAACTTCGAGGATTTCTAGAAAATTTAAGAAGGTCGTTTCGGAGGAGCATATAATTTTGGTAAAAAAGCTTGGTGGAATATATAGAAATTCAAGTGAGTAATG